TCATTTTCTTTATTTTAAAGAAAAGGACCCTGAGGCGCAGGGAGGTTAAGTGACTTGCTTAAAGTCACGTAGCTATTAATCATAAGCAGTACGGCCAGGATGTGAACACAGGTAGTCTGGTTCCAGAGCCCATGTTATCAGCATTTATGCCATCCTGCCTCAAAACATTCTTGTGATATTTCACTTAGTAGCATGGGCTCCAGCTCTATCCAGGACAATACAAGTGGTGCTAGATCACCACTTTTTTGTGGCTGAGTAGAACTCCATGGTATACATATACCACATTTTATTAATCCACTCTTGTATTGATGGGCACTTGAGTTGTTTCCAGATCGTTGCAATTGTGAATTATGCTGCTATAAACATTCTAGTGCAGATGTCTTTTTTTCCTTTGGGTAGATGCTCAGTAATGGGATTGCTGGATCGAATGGTAGTTCTACTTGTAGCTCTTTGAGGCATCTCCATATTACTTTCCACAGAGGTTGTACTAGTTTGCAGTCATTTCTTTTTTAAAAGACTCACTATATTTTATTTTTAAAGGTGGATCTTGAAAGTTAACCAAATATATGTCCATATTTTGATATATGCCATTATCCATTAGTATCCTGTGAGAGAAAAGGAAAGGCCCCTAGGAGGGATGAACTGGGTGAGGGAAGAAAGATACAGGGATCTTTAAAAATTAGATCCAAAGATATTTACCAGTATCTTTGCACTGTTACATAAGATGTAGGAGCACAAACATAATTGTTTACTGTAACCTTAGATGCTTTCCTACACCCCCTTTTAGGGAATCTTATTAGAGATAATATGAAAACCAGAAAACACATGTTATCTTAGCAATTATTTAAAGGAGAAGCTGAAAATTAAAGTAATTATAGTATATTATAGAATGTTGTATTTTAGGCACTGTCATTTTGATAAAAATGGAATTAGGGACCATTGTAAATGCTTATATGTTCCCAGTGAGTGGTCCTGGCTGCATTATTTATGGAAGGATCTTTTATAGATAAGAACTAGCGCTTGATGCAATTGTGATTTGCATCTGCCATCCATAAAACCTTGATTTTGTTTTCAGATTTGTTTTCAGTTTCACAAATAAAAATGACTCAAATTGCAATTTAAGCAGAAAACTCCAAAGAAAACTTTTGATTAAATCTATCAGAAGGGATAGCACTGTGGCCATTTAGCATTTGATTGTAAATTCTAGTTTCTATTGACCTTCCTGACAGGATTATGTTTGATAGATCTAATTTCCTGAAGTGTTTTCAAAGATGTGGGCATTTTGATTAAAAATACTCTCACAAAACTTTCCAGGCATCTTTTTAAGGGATCTTAAAATTAACTTAAGAAGACACTATAGCAAAAAGTGATTATAGAAAAGGCTTCTGAGGAAAAAAATAAGTATTTGTTATTTGGATTTAGGACTTCAAAGCTAGAATTGTTCTTATAAAAAGAAAAATAAGCTACTTTTTAAATAGAGTGAAATGAGATGGACTATTTGTAATATAAATGGTTAAAGAAACACTTTACCCCAAAGTAGGAGAATTTTTTGCCTTTAATACATTTTCTTGTTAAAAAATACACACATACATATTCATGTATATGGAAAAGATTTAAACAATACAGATGTATATAAAATAAAGAGTAAAATTGCCTCCACTCTCATTCCCTAGAGACAATCATAGTTCATATTTGGGTTCAGATCATTTAAGATCTTTTTTCTACACACATATAAATATAATTACAAATTGCACAACTACATTAAACAACAATATGATTGAGCTGAATCTATTCTATAGCCGCTTGATCCTTTTTGTTTTATTTTTTTTAAGTCAAGTTTATTGAGTTATAATTTGTATAGTAAACTTTGCCCTCTTTATGTATACAGTTCAATTAGCTTTGACAAATATGTGAAAATGTGCAACCACCACCACAATGAAGATATAGAACATTTCCTTAACTCCCAAAAGTTTCCTCATGTCCTTCTACAGTGAATCCCCTCCCTTCATACCCAGCTCTTGGAATCTACTGATCTGATTTCTGTTCTGTAGTTTTGCCTTTTCCAGAGTGTTGTACAAATTGAATTTTTGTGATTATCTTCTTTTACTTGGCATAATGCCTTTTGGGTTCATCCTGTTGTTACATTTATCCGCAGTTGCTTTCATGTTATTGCTGAATTGTATTTTATTCTATGAATGATTATACCACAATTTGTTTATCCATTCAACCATTCATGGAAGTTTAGGTTATTTCCAGTTTTTGACTACTATAAATAAGACTACTATAAATATTCATGTATGGGTCTTTGTATGGCCATATGTTTTTTATTTCTTTTGGGTAAATACCTAGGAGTGGGGTTGCTGGGTCATACGGCATCTGTTTAAGTTTAGAAGGAACTGCTGAATTGTTTTCCAAAGCAGCCATATATTGATAATTTTGCATTTCCATCAGTGATTTTGAGAGTTCCAGCTGCTCCAAGTCCTTGTCAGCTCTTGGTATTGTCAGACTTTTAAATTTTAGACATTCTAGTAGGTGTGTAGTAATAGTTCACTATGGTTTCAATTTGTGTTTCTCTAATGAATAATACTCTTGAGGATTTTTTGCTATATGTATATATATACATATTCTTTGATATATGTATATCTTCTTTGGTGAAATGCCTGTTCAAATCTTTTGCCTCTTTCTTAAATTACATTCTTCATCTTATCTTTGAGATGTAAAAGTTCTTTACATATTGTCAATAGAAATCCTGTATCAGATAGGTATTTTGCAAATATTATCTACCAGCCTGTGACTTGTCTTTTAATTTTAGCATTGTCTTTAGAAGAGCAGATATTTTGAATTTTGATACTATATTAATTTTTCTATTTTGGTTTGTGAATTTTATCTCCTAAGTAATCTTTGACTAACTTAAGATCACAGCAATTTTTTTTTTTTACATTTTCTTCTAGCAGTTTCATAGTTTTAGCTCTTACATTTAGGTCTAGACTATAACTTGATTTTACTTCAATGATATACCATGGACATTATTCCACATCAGTACATTAAACTTTACCTCACTCTTTTTAATGACTACATATTATATGTAGTATGAATGTACCATAATTTAATTAGCCATTCCCAAGTTAATGAATATTTAAGATGGTTCCAATTTCCCAATATTACAGATGATCTGTGATGAGAATCCTTACATGTAAATATTTATGCACTTATCTGAAAAGTTTTGAAGAAAATTTTTCTAGAAATAGAAATGTTAACATTTTTAACATTTTGATAAGTACTGCCAAATTGACCTCACAAAAATCTTTACCAGTTTTTACTCCTATTAATAACATATGAGATTGTGTCTTAGTCCATTTTATGCTGCCATAACAGAATACCACACACTGGATAATTTATAAGGAACAAAATTTTATTGGCTCACAGTTCTGGAGGCTGATAAGTACAAAATTGAGGAGCTGGCAACTGGCAGTACACTTCTTGCTGTGTCATTCTATAGCAGGGCAAAGAGTGGGCAAGAGAGAGAAAGAGATGGAATTTGCAGCCTCAGGCCCTTTTATTGGCATTAATTGGCATTAATCCATTCTTGAGGGTGGAGACCTTGTGGATGAAGGTAGAACTCCACCTTCCAACACTGTTGCCTTGGGGATTACGTTTCCAACACAGGTACTTGGGGGATATACATTGTAGCAGAGTATCCTTCATCCTAAACACTAGTCACACTAGATATTTTCAATCTTTTAAATTTTTATTAATTTGATTAGTGGAAAATGATCTCTTATTGCTTAGTTTGGAGTTGCTGTATCATATGTCTTATATTTAACTTTTTGAGGAACTGACACACTGTTTTCCATAGCATTTGTGCCATTTCAGATGCCCACCAGCAATGCATAGGTGTTCCAGCTTGGCCATCTTTTACTATATCACTTGTATTTTTTCTTCTCTAAATTGACTATTTGTATCTTTTGTCCTTTTTCCTACTAGGTTATCTTTCTTTTTCTTCTTCTTTTCCTCCTTTTTTTCTTTTTTCCAGAAATTATCTATATTTTATGTGCATTAGCTTTTTTTGTTGCAAATTCTTCTCTTGCTCTATTCATTTGTCTTTTAACTTTGTTTAATGAGTTTTTCACTTTATCGATCTTTTCAACGTACTCCAATGGGTTGTAGTGGTTTATTATGCATCGGAATTTGATTTCTTATTTAGGAAGGTGTTTTCCAAACCAATATTAGAGAAACATTCCCTGCTGTTTAATTCTGGTATATTTATAGTTTAATTTGATTTGATGATGTGAGATAGGAAACACATTGGGAATATTGTACTTGTAGAGATAACCAACGTTCTCTGAACATTCATTATGCAGTCCAACTTTTTCCCATTGTTTTGAAATACCTCCTCTATTATTACCAAATTTTTATATATAATTTAGACTATTTCTGAATGATCTTTTCTGTTTCATTGAACTATTTGTTCCTGACCAGTATCACCCCTTGAAATGAATTTTGCTAGCAAACCCATGAAAGTTCTGGGAAAAAAAGACCTGGTGGTCACCACAGAAAGTGTATTCTCAGAGACTTTCCTTAACCACCTTATTTCTCCATCTCAATATTTTGTAAGCCTGAAGACAGACATCTGGGGTTGCTTTAAAGACAGAAACATAGTTCAATTCTAATTTTAGGACAAAATCTGTGGAAATCTATGGGTACTACAAAAGATCATTAAGGAATCAGAGATGCTGTGAAAATTGGTTCTATTGATTGAATAAACAACACAGGAAAACACTTTCTCTCCCATATACCTTTTCTATTGTTTTTTGGTATTTGCATTAGATCACGCTCATTGCATTGATGCATTGAGTCATCTCCTTGGGCAGAGTGCTGATGTTTCACTATTATGTGGAAAGTAGAATGACTCCATACACTGTAGTATTCTAGGGTGAATCTCTACCATGCAATCATGGAGCATTCGAAGGAACCATATTTCAAGTGTATACTGACCAAGGTTAAATGGGAATAAAAGTCTTTATTGTTGGTAATGTACTTCATTCATGGATTCCCCTAGACCTGCAGATTACCAGAAATTATACATACATGTAACCACATCTGCTGTAGCAACTGTATTTTTTTAATTTGCAAGACATTAAAAAGGCTTGTAAGACTGAAGGATTTTCTTAAACTTCTTAAACTGACATGGGTACATAAGTTTGATTATGTATGATCAGCTAAAATTATCATAAAATATACTTTTATACAGGTAAAGCAAACTGTTTTGAGCAGTACTTATCACTGTGATAGTCTTTATTGCTCATAGTCTTTCTACCTATATTGAAGTGTCCCTTAAATTTTAGTATATATTATCCTGAATTGATTCAGCGTGAGAGATTTCCTTAAGCTTGTAATTATTTCCTCATTAGAAACAAATTACATTTTGATTCTATGATATCACTGTTTCCTGTGGAGTAGTGGATAAAAGAGTAAAAATTTTAGTTTATTTTGTAGATAACTGCTGATATTTCTAGGCACTTATGGTATATTTAATTTTCACAGATTTAGATGATTTGGATTAAATTTGTAGTAGTATACTGCAATATAAAGTATGATAAAACATAATCATAGTTTTATTATAACTCTACTTATATTATTTGTAACATGCTCCTATTTATTATAAATATTGAAGTCTAAGGTGACATGATATATTTCTTCTTGCTTCAGTGTTGAGTCAAAGCTGCTTTAAGTTTCATTTTTTTTGGTTATCTGGAAATCTGAAATAGAATAAATTATAAAATTAATTTTTACATTGGGCTAGAAAGTAAAAAAACACTTGCTCTGAAAGATATTTTCCTTTCTATAATTTTCAGACATAGCTTAAAGATTAAAAACACTTAACCTTATATGATATTTGAAAGTAAATCTGTGATTTTTTTTAAAAAAAATCAGTGTTTCAGTATTAGCTTTTCAAGGGCTGGATGAAACTACTCTTCTTGTGTTTAGAGAATAAGATTATAATTAGTTTCTTACACAAAGTGAGTACTTAATAGAAACTTTTTATTTGATTTAATCATACCCGCCGAGTTCTTCCACATGTTCCGAATTTTGAGATACATCTTCTACTGTTGAGCTTGTAAACTCTCCTAAAGAAAAAAAGATGTATAATTTTAATAGTTTTTCATGAACATAGTTTATAATTCATTTGAACTGGAACCTGAGAATCCCTTTTACAGGATATCTATCTATCCTTATCACCAGGGCAGATTCTATTGCCCAAAGGTTGCCACAACAGTATCTCCCACTCCACTTATTCCTCTATTTTATGACCCTGTCAATCCCCCATGAAGAAGCAAAATCTAATTTCCTTCTTCAAATTAGGCTAGCCTTAAGAATCTTTTGTAATCAACAGAATGTGGAAGAAGTGACCGTATGACTTCTGAGACTAGCTCAGAAAAGGCTATGCAGCCTCCACCTCATTCTCTTAGGATGCTTTGGAGGAAGCAAGTCACTATGTAAGTCCTAACACCTTGAGACTGTCACTCTGGAGAGGCCATGTATAGATGCTCTGGGAAGACAGTCCTAGCCAAGCCCAGCCTTTCAGCCATCCCAGGCAAGCCTCTAGTCTGTGAGCAAAGCTGTCTTTGACCCTCAAAATCAGTCCATCTGTTAGCTGAGTGCTACTTAGTGACCTCAATTACTGTCCAGCCAAGCCCTGGACACAAATTCCTAACCCACAGAATTCTTATGATATAATAAAATGGCTACTGGAAAGGCCAACTTTTGGGGATAAGATGACATGTTAAAACAATACTCAAAAGGAAAATTAATTTGGAGAGCAACATAAAGCATGTAAACAATAAAGTCAAATATGTGAAGTTTATATATAATATATAAATAGCCATGTTAATTTGTTACTTAACTTTCTTATCTGTCCTTTTACTCTTGGCTTGAATCTACTGGAAGTAATCTAATAAGATGGTCTTTATTCCTGCTTATGACAGGCCGCAGTCAGGTACCTCCTCTTATTTCCTGTATTTTATTTTTATAAGACTCTCTGCATTTCCTATTCTGTTCCCATCTTCTATCCACTGCAACTCCTGAAACATTTCCACTGTGCCCTTTGGAATATTTTGTCCATTGTTTCACAAAATAACACATATCCTCACCCTATTTTCTGAAATTCCTTTTACTTTTTTGCTCTAACAGAAACCTGGCTCTTTGAAGATACAACCAGCTCAGAAACTTATTTTTGCTTGTTTTTCTATTTTCTTACTACTGACTCTGGAGATGGGTAGGTGTCCTCCTTCCTTCCTACTGTTCTTTCAGACATTTGCCCTCCCTCTTTCCCTTCCTAAAACTCATATTATCAGATTATACAATCAAACATTTGTCACTATTGTGATCTATCTATGGCTGGAATCATTCCGTGTCGATTTTATCATTGTTTCTTCTCTCTTTACAGCTACTTTCTCAATTTAGCAATTTCAATGTACACGTATAGATTATTCCACTCTTAAGTTTTAATTCCCTGAGCTCTTTTCTTAGATCTCACCCTATCCCCTACTTTAGCCATTAATTTTTCTGGTCATACTTAGACTTTGCCATTGCCAGTAACTGCAAACCCCCTCATGCTCAGTTCCTGCAATCAACTACCCAACTGCAACCTTTCTCTTTCCATATGCCTCCCCCTACTACCTCACCCCCAGCAATCCTTCCTCTCCACTGGGACTTCCAATCCTACCATCTTTTTACTGTTACTCCTCATTTTAATGTCTTCTCCTTTTATCACACAATTTAAATTCTGTAGTTACCCACTCCCTTGCATACAGCCACAAATTCTTCTTTTCCCACTTTGTCTCTCACTTGGCAAAACTATAACCCTAGTTAAATCCAACTGTCTGCCCGGTCCTCTCCTGCACTATGTAGCTCAATACAGCTAGAGAAAATATGCAATCAGCCTGAAAGGCCTTGCTTTAACTTCATGGCCACAAACAGTAGGCGGACCCTTAATGCTTTCAGGCCATTTTATGAAACATTCCTAGTCCATTCATTCTTCCACTTCCCTAGATGACTATTTAACTCTTTCTTCTATTTCCTCAAACCTTCAACCCTCCACTTGCATCTTGGATCTCAACTGATGATTTATTTTCCAGTTTCATAGAGGAAATAAAAGACAGTAGGGAAAAACTTCCACAAGCTCTGCAGCAAGAGTTTCTCACCTGCCTGCTTCTGTATTCTACATACACTGTCTTCCCTCCTGCTACCATCAGTGAACTAAGGCCAACCCCTCTACTTCTTCACTAGATATCTCAACCCCTCTTGCCTACACAAGACATGGCCTCAGTAAATCCTTCTGCCTCCCATTCATCAGTGTTTACACTGTCTACTAAATCTTCCCCATCAGCAAAGAACTATTAGTTGAAGTCATGGCACTAAGTTCTCAGCAACAAATGTGGACAAAGTGATACACAGTCTTATGCTGCTTACTGCTAGTATACGTTTTGAGAAATGCATCATGATGTGAATTTTTCATTGTGTGAACATCATAGAGTGTTGTTACACAAAACTAGAAGGTTTAGTCTACTACACAGCGGCTTATATGGTATCGCCTATTGCTCCTAAGCTACAAGCCTGTACAGCATGTGATTATACTGAATACTGCAGGTAACTGTAATACAATGGTAAGTATCTATGTATCTAAACATAGAAAAGGTAATGCATTGCACTACAATGTTACTATGGCTTCAATGTCACTAGGCCATAGGGATTTTACAGCTCTATTACAGTCTCATGAGACCACCCTCATACATGCGATCCGTCATTGACAGAAACGTCCTTATGCAGCACATGATTATGTACTGCTTCTGGATCTCCTGGAACTTTCCCTCTTCTTTAATCTTGAATGTTGAACATTTACATTCTACCATGCAGACAATGGCAGCATCCTAAGGCTGCGGTTCTCAACTGGGTGTGGTTTTGCCTGCAGTGAAATGTCTGGAGACATTTTTGGTTGTTATAAGTGGTATGAGGAAGAGCTACTGAGCTCTAAAGAGTAGGCCAGGGATGCTTCTAAACATCCAACAACGCACACGATGTGACAGTCATTCCCTGCATGCTCCCCAACAAAAAATTGTCCAGCCCATAGTACGAGGTTGAGAAACCCAGCCCTAGGGGATGAAAGAGCAATAAGAAAGCCATCATCTCTTGAACGTCTGTGAAGCTATGTCATAAACGTAGACTGCTTGTTTCAGGATGAAGGGAGAAACAAGCTTTCATATTCTTTCATATTCTTGTACTACTGTACTTTTGGGACTCTTTGTAATAGGAGCTTAACCTTTATCTTAACTAATATGTTCTGTCATTCTTTTAGGTTAAGAACTATCTTGGGGTTTTCATTTTAATTTTTTTCATTGCATTACAATGCATAGAAATACTCTAATATGCTAATGTCTATTTTATACTATGTAATGTCTTGAGCTGAGCCTTCATTTTGGCTTGGCAGGATGTAACAGTATCTCATAAGCTGCAGAAGTCTTTCTTGGATTTCTCCCATTTGCAATTATGCCTGACATGTCTCAAATAATTATTTGGCATTCATTCCCCAGATGTTGAGGAAATGCGACTTATATTGTGGACTATTTCCCAAGTAGATTCTCTGAGAAGAGTAGCTATATCTGCCTCTATTCTTCTATTCAACTTGGGCCACAGCTACTAGTTTAAATAAAAGACAATTACCCACACTCTGTGCTGGAGAACTTTAGCAATGGCTACTTTACATAAGAGGACATTTAAAATCATCATTCAGGTGTTCTGACACTTCTGAACAAGGTGAGCACTACAGGATTTGTTGACTGTTGATTTCATCATTGCAAAAATATTCATTTTGATGCTAATCTAGGTCATGTAGTGTGGGTCCGACTTAAGGTGTGATTTGAGCTGTTTGATCTATTGGACTGCAAGGAAACTGGAAGACTGGGACCAATACCATTCCAGCAAGAGAGGCCAGAACCAATAAAAAGTTGAAGTGTGATATTTGCTTATATTATCTACATTTCAGAAGAAATTAGCACTTCTCTGTTGCTAATAGTAAAGACTTTCAAATGGTAGATTCTGTCATGTAGGCAACAAAAGGATCTCGTTTAGACCGCCACTTAGCTTATACTCTACTAAAGCAATGGAATAAGCCAGCAAGTGCTGAGTTGCTATAAATCCACCATCTCATCCCTTTATTTGAAAACAATAGAATACAATTTTTATATAATACAGTGCTAATATAAACAAAATTTAAAAAAATGTTATCTGTGGAGGAGGAGTATGAATTGGAATGGAGGCGACATTACCTGGTAGTTTGATGGGAAAGGTGAATGAATTTTTATAATTTTGGCATGCAAAACATTTTTAGTGGCCGTGCTCTAAAAAAGAGTAAATAATAACTCATTTATAAAGGTTGTGTCAGAGTTTATGGTCTAGACCTCTGGTAATGGATTCAACCTTTCCACAACAAATCAAAAGTATTGTTGTATGCTCACATGAATATACAGTAGTCATTACCTTAAATTTAAAACTCACTATAAGCAGTAAACGCAGAGAGCAGGATATGAAGGCTGTATTGTATCAGTGTGGTCTGCAGAGAATTTCTTCATATGGTTTTTGCCTTGTTGAAATATATGTCGCAGTTCAAAGCTAAAGGGATTACTTTTGAATAGTCATCAGAGAGGTTGATTACATTCGTATATCATATTTAGCTGGACCCTGCAGGCTATTATTCCATTAGCTATGCTAGTCCTGCCATTGTCAAAAAGTTGATCACCTAATGTTAAAAGACTGTGCTTTCTGTTGACCTTCTCAAAATGACCCAAAAGCTTTTGTTAAAAAATGAAACTCAGATTATGTTTTATGTAACTGATCAAGAATAAATACTGTGTATAAAAAATGCTCATCTCTTATGGGTGATCTTAGCGTTTTGCCATTATTAACAATGGGATATTTTGTTTTTGTATTTCAGCACGTTGTACTTAAAGTCACAGATTCAATTTTCATAGAAATACTACTTCTCTCTCACTGATAGTAAAGAGTCTCAGAAACTGACTTATGAAAAAGGAACATAAATTTCTTCCTTCTCCACTATGTATTTAAATCATAT